CGGTGGTATACTGACTAATTACTTTAATACGCACAACGAGACTGAACTCGGATTCAAGTAACAGGTCGCGATAACAGGTACTGATATCATCGACTCTAATATGATAACATTATCTCTTTACTACAGATGGGTGCGTAGAACGAACGGGGGGGAAAGTAAAGACCTGTATGTTCTACTTACAAGAAGGGCGTTTCCACTTACGAGAAAATGTATTTCGTCGATAGAACGATTAAGTTGTTTACAATTTGCTGTCGTAAATAGATTAAAATTCGTCATTTTAAAGGAAAATTATTTATTCAATTTTTGCAACTGTCATATTTACAAAGCAGATATTTTTAGTACGATTAGTTCGAAAATGTACTAAAATCTTTTTATTCTTTCTTGCATTCTTGAGGACGACAGGTTTTACAATAAAACACGTGCAGTATATAAGCAAATATTATATATGAAGGCTATTTCATCTTTAAAGTCTTACTTTTTTTACATTAACGCATCACTTACGGTATCCGTTATATGCATAATAAAAATGTATGATGCTCTTATATCAATATATTTTATATATTCAACTTAAAATCGCGGACAGCCTAAAAACGGTGTACTTTCCTCCATTGCAATTTTTTTAAAATGTATAATACGAATTTTTCGCGTTTAAAATGTGTATCGCGCTACAAATGCATCATAGAATAAATATACATATTAACAGTAATAGATACGTCTGCACAGTGTATAGAGTGTATCAATAATGTTCGACAAGTTCATATTAAACGATTAAATATTTTTTTACAACAAGAGAGAGAAACACATCTTTTCATTATAATCGTATTATTCATATACGATAATGAGATGTATATCTGCTTAATGTTTGTAACAAGTTGCAAAAAATTCGGTTATTCACGAAATATTCCTGTAAATGTCGAACACATCGAACATTACTAATACATTTAGCTGTAAATTATGTTTGGTTTGGGTATGTTAAGCAACTTTCTCGCTTTTTTTATGCATTATTCGAGTTAAATATGTATACGGCAAGGATCTTAAAAGTAGGGGAAATTATGGAATTTTTGTACTGCGACGGTATCTTATATCAATATTGTCCAAATGTTTACAAAAAATTATATTACATTTTTTATGCTGTTGTAAATCTTTTCAATTGATGGTACGTATCACAGAAGAAATCTATAAAAGTCACAGAAAGAATTCAAAAAAATTAAAAAAAGGAGAGAGATCTTAAAGAGACACGTCTAAATTGTTTTTCGCGAATGGAACCTACAGCAATGATGTCAATATAATATTGCGGATATGAACCATACACTTCATCATTAAGTGAAAAGACTTTTTTATAACATTTTATTTGTAATGAAATAATCTCTCTGTTACGGTTGATTCTTTCTTTAACATTACGACGTTGAGGCATTATCTCCATTACTGTCCATATATCCGCCAGATCCGTTCATGACAAATGACGTTCCCAAACCGTAGAGATGTCCACAATATTTTGCATCATCAATATTATCTTCGAAAAACATCTAAAATAAAAGTCAGAAGCAAATTAGAACTTTACGTATAAACCTAGACATGATCAAAATCGAGACATAAGACATATTTAAAGGATATCTTATATCCTGATTTTGACTCGCATAGAACTCGCAATCTAAGAACGTAATACATATTATTTTTATAATTTTATTTGACAAATTATATATTATTAAATTAAATTTAGTAATTTAATTTAGCTGTTTTCATTAAAGTTTATTATTAAAGTTTATATTGTATTTTAATTTAACTTACTTCTCGCATCTTAAAAAAGACCATTCCAGTAAGAAGGGAATCGGAACCTGCTTGATGCTGAGGACCTACTCTTTGAATTTCCAGCTGTTCTGCCACTTCTTGTAAACCGCCTTTCAAGTTCTTGCACGATTTCATTAAGTACTATGTAATATAAAAATAGAACATATTTTTTATGTTTCTTTTATTCTTAATTAATTTTATTTTTTTTTAACAAAACAACTCACTTTTACATCATATATCGTTGGAAAGTATATCCTAAGAAGCTCAAAAAATTCACTTTCTTCCTGTGGCAATTTTTGATCCGTCAGGAGTTTCAGTAAGTAACCAAAGTCATAGCCAGAATGAAAGGATAGCCATTTTATGTCATCAACAAGAACAATTCCTGATGTCATTAATAGCTCAGCAAATTCTAAAGGATCGATGCCTTCCTCTTCATGTTTTTTGAACTGTATACCACTATTTTGTAGCATATCTATACTATCCTGTGCATACATGTCTTCACTGATAACAATAAAATACACACTTTATTACCGGAATTATTTTTTTAAAAATTTAACAAACTTTGAATGTAATTATCTCAAACTAAGAATTAGATGTTAATGTTAGTAACATATACTTACTGTAAGTTGAATTTAAAATTAAATTGCCATGTTGTATAACTACCGCCCGGCGTATTCCCTGATTCGTCAAGGAATGTGAGACCAAGTTGAATTATTCGTAAAAGATCTACATTGCAACGTAAGAGCTGGTATTGATAGTCGGCATTGGTTCTGAATTCTCCTGTTCCAAAGAAAAAAACTTGCAATTTGCACATGCTCCCGGAAGTAACATATTCCATTACGGAATTTCTATTATGTATGGAATACAAAAATATACATTCTTACCAATAGGCCTAGCTACAACACCTGGAAATTCTGTATCCATTGCGATATACTGATATTGTTGTACGACTTGACGAATTGTACGAAACTCCTCTTCTAGATTGTGTCCCCATACATCTCTGATTCCACATTCTTCATTACTGGGCATATTCCCTCCTCCCTTTTGCTGCCCTATTTGGTTGGTCCCACCTAAAAGTTCATTCATAACAAAATTCATTTTACAATAAAATATATATAATATCATTAAATATTAGATATATAGAAATAATAAAAATATTCCATGCTTCTCTTTCCATTCCTTAATTAATTTGTTGTTAATGTAATATTTGACAAAATATATGAAATATACATATTTAATTTTACAGACTGCTATTATAAGACTTGAGTGCCAGGAACATAAAAGTGAAATTTTTATAATAAAAGTCTCTTTAAAAGTTCATAAAATTAAATATTCATACAATATTCATATTTATATATAATTATAAATGCACATCCTCCAAAAATGATTTCTTTATTCGTAATATAATTACATGATTCTCAACCAATTAACGGTTAATTTTTTTAACGCTAAATCGATTGTTTGAACAGCTTCAAATAGATATATATTCTTCACAAATTTTGCAAAAAATCACATCTTCTCTGGTATTGATAGTACAAATGCATGTTTTTCAATAGTTTCATATGTACTAACACAATATCATACGAAACTTCTATCTCCTTTATTACATCTACCTTTTCATCCACTTGAAACTCGTTCTTTATCTACTTTGCTTCCATATTCCTGTAATGCGTATGTCTTTCAATTATCAATTGGATATATAAAGATTTCACTTTTAATGTTCCTGATCCAGTATACGTAACTCTTAATTTATAAAGCGTTACCCAGTATCATCGCAAAGATCATATATATGATTACTACATTTTCTTTATGTTGCAAATAGAGATCAAATGTGCATCATGCTTGTACACACCGGTAGCTGAAGGCATATTCCTGCATTCACCGGGGCTATGCTTGTCTTCAAATTCCTTCTGTCACGGTCTTTCCTTCTTCATATCACTGGAAATTTGTGAATAATCAGTGAAATAACCTCTTACGTAACGCCTGCAAACTGTTAGTGACCAAGAGAAACTTGAAATGTGATCTGCATCGTATGGGGACTACGTATCATTAGTAATAACAGCTAGCACTGGATCCTCAGTCACTATTGCAGGCAAGACAGGTTATGGATCGCGGGTAAACAATAACAGTTCATCACAGTGGACATTGCGCAAAGATGAAACGCGGACCGGAGAGAACACGAGTGAACACGAGTGCGAGAACATCGTGGGAGAACGACGCGGGACAGCAGAACTCGTTATTTGTTAAATAAGTTTACTGGGGAACCAAGGGGGGTTATGTGCCCTCCCCTGGAGTAAGCAGAGAATGTCATCCACGAGGTGCACGGACGGCACCGCGCGGCAATCCGTACCTTGCAGTATGATATATTCCTGGTCAGCAATGTCTGAGCGCAAAACGATTTAATCGAGACTGCACCCACTATCTTGCCGTGTCAAATCATGAACGGTTTAAACGACTTCTTTACCTCACGAGCTCAGTACGCGCGACGGGCGCTTCGATCGCTAAGATCAGAGAGAAACTTGAGAGAGAGCCAGAGAGGCCATCCCGACGTTTTACGTAGAACCGTCAAAATCGCCCATACACTAGCGCCAGTACATCTATTAATGATTTGGAACTACATAGCTACGTCACAGTGTAATTGTGGTATTGGCGATCACGGTGTCGAAAATAAATATGGTGCAAGTTAAGTTTAAAACTTTGCTATGTATTTTTTAAAAGATTAACAGCGTACTTATAAGTTCGATCTTTCTTTCGTGTAGTCTTTACGATCATCATCTATTTTCTCTCTAATTCGTTTTTAATTTTCAAAAAGAATATGATTTTTATAGTCCGTATTCAGGACATGCTTTTATCGATAAATATACGTTTTTACCTTTCTATAGTATATAGTAATGTGAATGATATGTTAATGCTAAATACACACTATCATAAAGCATATAAAGTGCGTTTAGAGTGCGAGCGCTTCTCGAGAAACTCACAGATCTAATCTTCGAAAAACATTGAATTTTTCGGCGCGTAGCGCTTCATTATATATTCCATCTGAAAGCTAGTGTCCATCCAATAAGTGTTCAAATACAGTGCCCATCGCGATCATTGGCTGGTACGTGAGCAGTGGGGACATGTCGGTTAACATATCCATATAAATAGCGCGTAGTTTGTGGCTTCACGCTTTTGCGACTTGAGCAGTGACATGTTACGTTGCGTTTCGCGGAGAAATACAGCCCTGATTTCGAATTAATTATTATATAATCTTTCTGCAAAAAGTATCTTACAAAGATCTCTATCAGTATTAGAAAACGACAAGAAATGGGTTCAAAAGGATCATTAGAATTTGCCAACGAGGTACTTAATTAACAAATCTATTATTAAATTATTATTTTCACGCGCGACGCAAAAACATTTCGAGAACCGATTGCTTTAAGATTGTTTAAGAACTCTTGAAACTCTTGACCGGTAATGGTTTATGCCGTATTATAGAAATATTCAATGTTATTATCGATTCCATTGTCATTTTTCCACTGGGTATAGAGATTTAGTTTAATATAGGTATAGGATTTAGTTTAAAATGTGACACGGTAAACTAGGTAGTGAACTTTGCGTCTGGTTCCTAAAACATTTTAAATATCTCATAATGTAGATTCAGCGCTGGTAAACTAATCATTCGTTCAAACGCATTTTTCGCAATATGATTCGGCTGAAAATCATGATGCGTAGCGCAATCGTGTCGCCGTGTCGCGTCGCTTTTAACGCGTGAAGTTAACCGCGGGCTGGAGATGAAATCGCTTCACTGTTTTGATCGCATTTACATTTCATTCGCGCCGCGGATCGCGTCAGATAGGGAATGATATGGCGGAATGGATCAGCTCTGAGACGAGTGACGCATTCAAATATAGTAATTAAAATCCAGATTTAATATTTAATATTGTCTATATTTAATTCTTTTTCGATATTTAACTACTGCTTAGCTATATAGATTCGGTATTCATATACTGATAATCTGTTTAAACGCAAAATTTGTTCAGTCAGAAATGTATCGCATGAATAATTAACAAATAGATTCTCGGATATCAAAATCTACATAAATTCATACTTTTACATTTAATTTGCATTATAATACGAAATAACAACCATTATATATTATCTTGAAATATGAAAATTTTTTCGGACAATAAAATGAAACCTTTTCTCACCAACTTAATATATAATTACATTTACTCTTCATTTACAGATTGTGGTGAACAATGGAATGAACTGACTCCGAGACTAGTGGCATCGTGATCAAATGGTAATTGAAACCCATTAAGTTTGAATTTGTCGATTATTGCAATATTTAATTCGCATCTTAATATGAATTCGGTATATTTGTAATTTTATTTTTTATTTTCTAAATTATAACTTTCTATTTCCTACATTATAATAAGTATCTTATTTCAAGTAAATGTTAATATAAATAGTAAATACTATTTGCCTTTTTTATATTTATTATGCAAAAATACTCATATTTTAAATATAATTTTAAATAGAAATTTTATAGACGCACCCTTTAAATAAATATTTCTATTGAATCTATTTCAATTGTTTTCTGCACTGAAAAATATATATTTATTTATTTTTTATTTCAACTATCAGATAAGTGCCATATATTATAGACGCTTTTTTAATAGTTTTTTTCGAAAGAAGTCTTATGAATTTTAAAATATCTTTATGATGTTTTTAAAACGTCTCAATGTTCTCTAGGTAAATAAAATTTACAGTTGATAATATAAATAGCTACACATGCTTCAAAACTTGAATTATTTTTAGATATACGTCTTTTCAAAACGTTTAAAAGACATTTTTTTGGAAAAGTTTTAAAGACATCTATTTCAAGACGTTTTTTTGGATGTATATCAGACACGCGCGTTCTTTGGAAATTAATATAGTAATAATCTGATTTATCGGTCTAATGTAATTTCCATGAAATCGATAAGTCAGACTACTACTATGACCTGCTGGAGAAAATAGTTGAAATAGAAAATAATTAAATAAATAAATTTTTTTTTTAACACAGTACAGGGAAACAATTGAAATAGATTTAATAGAAATATTTATTTAAAGAATGCGTCAATCGATTATTACTATTTGAAATACAAGTATTTTGTGTAGTAAATATAAAACAAGCAAATAGTATTTATAGTATTTACATTAATATTTACTTGAAATGAGTATCTGCGGATTAATATGCACTATACTGTATAATGTATAATCTAACACGTACAGTGCGAATCCGAAACATGTCTGTGTACTAATGCCCTCTCGGTAAATATTGCATTACTGTGAGAAACCACAAGCTAGAGAGGATGGGCAATATTATCATTTTTATTAATGTTAGCATGATTAAATATTTATTTCTTATATAAACACAAAAATCTATAAATAATTTTATTGCGAAAAATATTATCTGAACTGGGATTGAACTCCAAATATAATATATGAATTTTTCTGTTTTATTCTTTATTATTCCTTATACATTACGCTGGATGATTTCTTCGCGATAAAATTGCTTCGCGATATATGTAGCAAGTTGTGTCTACTATATAACTTAGAGCAACTTCCTTTATAGAGGACTATAGTCTCGTTTATGCAGGAAGTTATTCTAAGTTATGCAGATCATAAAGTGATCGTCTTTGCTGCTGTAAATTGAAAGGGCCGGAAGCGATCAGGTGTACACTGACGAAAGCTAATATTTTTTTATCAAAAATGTAATGATGGCCATAAATTGTGACAACGTGATTTTATGGCATTAAAATATAATAATATTTAATAATATATTAATATTTATTGTTGAAATATAATAATATTTAATGTCCGTTTTCGCGCGCGCGCGCGCCGCGCGATTTGGAATTATTTTCTCCATTTTACTTCAAATATATTTTAAATACGTTATTTTATAATATAATAATTTAATAATGAAACATAGTAAGTATTAAAATATGTGCTAAATACGGAGATACAATAAAGACTAAAGCACAAGTCACAGTTTA